CATAGATGAGATTATTTCTGAAAAGTTTGGAAGCCAGTGGTTTGGCTGACTCTCTTTTGAAGATTAATATGTTTAAAACAAACAACACCATCCAGAAAAAACAAACAGGACTCCACCATTTGTCTTCACTATCGTTTCAAAGATTAATGAGCAGTTCAATCTAGAATCCTGAGAAGATGATTGATAAATAAAATAAAGTCCCTTCAAGAAAAAAGAGCTTATTAACCATAAAATGTTAGTATCTTAATAGCTGGAACCCTATCAGGGAATAAAGTATCTTTGGTGGAAATATATGTATATATATATAATTTTTATTGAGAACTGAGTGATAGTTTACACAGGAGAACATTGGCATTATATCATCATTTCATGGCAATGATTACAATCACCATTCTACAGTATTTGCTTCCATTCCCTCTGAGCTTTATTATTATTATTATTATTATTATTATTATTATTATTATTATTATTATTTATGGGGGGATGTACACAAAAACATACAGGAATATGTAATAATTTAAACAACCAAAGGGCACATTCTGCAAGTCTGCCTCCTGGCCGCCAGCACCCAGTTCCTCTCTTTCCATGAGTCCTGAGTCCTCAGCTGCTCCTTCTTTCCATGTTCTCGTCTCTGCCTCCATCTCTGATGTCGCTGCTTCTCTGGATAGGGTCCTGCACTCCACTTATGCTCTTCTCCCTCGATGGTCCTAGGGTCCTCTGTTTCTGGACTGTAATATTAACAAATCCCGTATTTTTGTTACAAAAGTTCTACCTTTGCAATTGCAACAGCTGCAATTTGTCCTGATAACATTTACTCACTACTGAGTCATAAGAATCTTGTCCCCTTCTCTTTTCACCAGACCCACCTAGACAAGATGAAAACTATTCAGTGGGGACTTTAGCTTCCCCCACACACTCTTAAACTAAACTTCCTCTTGAAAACTTGTAAGCCAGTAACTTTGTGCCTTTATCACCCTCTCATTTAAGTAACCAACTTAGGCAAGTTTTCCCTTCCCTATCTACCCTATATACAGAGGGGATAAGATTGATATTTGATGTGAAGGCTCCTTTCCTCTCAATTGGTATTTGAGCTACTACATCCATAAGTATATGTTAAGTTCATCAAATTGTAGCAATATACACTCATTTCCTTTATTAAAAAAAATTTTTTTTTTTTAAATCTTCCTCTAGTTGAGTTCTGATTATCAAGTCATCAAGGCTAGATTAAATGGGTACTATTTGCAAGTTGGTTCATTCTTGTGCGTCTCCCCTCACTTTATATCAGCTGGATGTTTTCACTCTCAGCTCTAGCCCTCCATGGTTATGTCCTTGTCCATGGGCTCAGGAGTCCCCTGGTAGGAATATTTTAATATAAATTGTGGGTGTGAAAAGCAGGTCTAGGGGTACAAGGAAGGGTGAAGAATGTGGAAATTCTGGGACATCTGGAAATGGGGAGTAATTGTAAGGACAGGAGACAGGTGATGAACGGCTGTGTTCTGCATCATCTCTTTCCTTTGCTTTGGTCACCAAATCTTCACTAGGTGACCACACTCACTGACACTTGCTATGTGTGACTTGGTTGATGTTGAAGTTGATGAAACCAAAAGTCTTAGCTCTATGGTCAGGTGTTGTAGCCAGGTTAAAACTGACAAGGAGACTAGAAACGCTAATGGAAATGATCAGGTATCTTGGAAAGATAATTGGATCTCCATAGATTCTGGAAGGTACACATCCTAGGAATGTTTACCTAGATCTTAAAGGAACTGAGAACTTCTTGTGTTTTATATAGATTACAAATGTGTTTACTAATTATAATCAATAGTTTTCACAATCAGTAAAAATCCCCTGATGGTAAGAGCCATTGTTGTAGCAAATTAATGATACAGAGTTTCTCTTCTGGGGAAGAGAAAGTAAATGCTTTGTGTTTGAACCCAGCATGGCTCTTCCTAGAGAAATGGGCAACTTGAGCAGAGGCCAGAAGAGGATTTCTGAAGGAAAGAGAAGAGGAGAAAGAGGAATCCTCAGAGTCTGTATTTGGGGTAGGTGATGAGCCGGCAGCTGGCACAAAGCCCTGTTTGGTGGTCTGCGTCAAAGCCAGGGTTCCTAGAGAAAGAAGTTTTGTAAGGGTGGGCAAGGCATCTCTCCCACCTCAGCACATGGTTCTCCTTCAGTTCTGTGCAGAGACACATTGCCTTCTTCCTCAGAATTGTCTTGTTTCTCTTACAGTGAAGAAGGTGAGCTTGGGGTAGCCAAATCCCAAATCAGCTAGGGCTGGACTTTGTTAGTGCTGTTTGTGTTTCATTGGTTAATGGTCTCCTTAGATGAAACAGGGTGAAATGGTTGATCATTTAAATAATCCCAGAATCCTTCCAAGGAGTCTTGCTGGCACAGTGGTTAAACACTCAGAACCCTGGTGACCCAGTGCTTAAGTTCTTGGCTGCTAACTGAAATGTCAGTGGTTTCAACTAACAGTGGTTTCAACTCACCAGCCACACTTTGGGAAAAGGATGTGGCAGTCTGCTCCCATAAAGACTGACAGCCTCAGAAATCCTATGGACAACTTCCACTCTGTCCTGTAGGGTGTCTATGAGTCAGAACTTATTTGACAGCTATGGGGTTTAAGGAGCTCTGGTAGCACAGTGTTTATGAGTCGGGCTGCGAACCTCAAGATCAGCAGTTCAAAACTATCAGATGTTCCATGGGAGAAAGATGAGGCTTTCTGCTCCCATAAAGATTTACAGCCTCAGAAACCCTGTATAGGGTCGCTATGAGTCGAAACTGACTCTAGGGCACACTGCCACCCTGGTGTTTATTTGGTTATGTGGACAAAAACTCAGAGTCTATGATGCACCCTTAAGACCACATGGGGGCACTATGAGGGCACTGTGGAGCTCCTGAGCCCCAAGGTCTTGGGGAGGGGCTGAAGGAGCTGTCTGCAGGGGATGGTTAAGAGCAGCCCTCTGTAATCCTTCCATTAGGAGAGTCTGAGGACAGGTGTTTGTTCTATGAATTCCTAGGGAGAGGAAGGGAGGAGCAGAGACCAGCCTTCAGATATGTCTGGATGGGCTTTGCAGGAACAGAGGGTCTTGGGGACAGACAGATACTTGGTCCAGCCTTCAGCTCCACCAGTGTGAGAGATAGAGACAATGACTTCACATTAGTGACATCTGTGCCCCTCCTCCAATCAGAGAAAGACTAGCAGTTCTGGGGTGGGGGATGGGGGGGAGAGAGGAGGACACACCCTCTGCAGGAAGAAACCACCAGTCCCCTGACCAGCCATGGGTCTCTGGCTCCTCTGCTGGGTAGCCATCTGTGTCCTGGGAGCAGGTGAGTCTGAGCCATAGAAGGACACCCTGTTCAGAGCTGGGCAGACCTTGAACCTCAGATGCCCTGGGGTCCCTGCTCTGTCCCTTCCAGCCTCTGTCCCTTCCTCCACAGGTCCAGTGGATTCTGGAGTGACCCAGACCCCAAAATACTTGATCAAAGCTCGAGGCCAGCAGGTGACACTGAACTGTTCCCCCATCTCTGGACACCCCTATGTGTCCTGGTACCAGCAGGCCCAGGGCCAGAGTCTCCAGTTTCTTATTGCTTATTACAGCGGGGATGAGAGAGAAAAAGGAAACATCCCTGCACGGTTCTCAGGACAACAGTTTTCCGACTACCGCTCAGAGCTGAACCTGAGTGCCCTGGAGCAGGGGGACTCGTCTGTGTTCCTGTGTGCCAGCAGCAAAGAGCACAGCCCTGCAGAGCCACCACCATCCTGTGCACAAACCTCCTGTCCCACCTCAGGAAGTTAGAGACAAAGGTGATGTCCCAGAGGGCTTCTCAGGCCAGCAGTTCCCTGACTACCACTCAAAGTTGAACCTCAGTGCCCTGCACTTGGCCATGTTCCTCTGCACCAGCAGCTCCACACAGCCCTGCAGAGCCACTGCCACACCAAACACAAATGTCAGGGCCACCCAGCAGCGGAGGCTGCACAGCTAAGCAGAAGGCTGTCTCAGTCCCCAAGTGCAGCCTGGGGCTCATAAGACCAAACCCACAGGTTTGTTTCAAGGATGGCACTCAGCCAGGACTCACCCCCAGTGCCTTCCTGGCCCTCTGTGCACTAGGGGGAAGAAGGAGATGGACACTGGATAGCAGGCACCCACCTTTCTAGGGCAGGGATGAACATCATTTAGTAAATACATATGCAGACGGGAGCATTACAAGGGGTTTCCTTGTATTATGTTTGATGTAGGAGCTTTCATGTTGTTCAGACTCATGGTGAGCCCTGTGAGTACAACTGACCGAAACACAGCCCAGTCCTGCGTCATCCTCACAGCCCCTCCTGTGTGGGAGCCAGTGTGGGAACCAGTGTGGGAACCAGTGGGGGAACCAGTGTGGGAACCAGTGGGGGAACCAGTGTGGGAACCAGTGTGGGAGCCAGTGTGGGAACCAGTGTGGGAACCAGTGTGGGAGCCAGTGTGGGAACCAGTGTGGGAGCCAGTGTGGGAGCCAGTGTGAGAACCAGTGTGGGAACCAGAGTGGGAGCCAGTGTGGGAGCCAGTGTGGGAGCCAGTGTGGGAACCAGTGTGGGAGCCAGTGTAGGAGCCAGTGTGGGAACCAGTGTGGGAACCAGTGTGGGAGCCAGTGTGGGAGCCAGTGTAGGAGCCAGTGTGGGAGCCAGTGTGGGAACCAGTGGGGGAACCAGTGTGGGAACCAGTGTGGGAACCAGAGTGGGAACCAGTGTGGGAGCCAGTGTGGGAGCCAGTGTGGGAACCAGCCACTCCATCAGCCCATTGCGTTGAGGATCTTCCTCTTTTTAGCTGACCTTGTGCTTTACCAAGGAGTGTGTGTGCTGTATGTATGTGATGCATGTTCATGTGTGGTGTATGTATGTATAGTGTGTGCATGTAGTATGTAATGTTTGGAGGTATGCTTTAAATGGTGTGTGACATTTTTGTAGTATGTGTGTGATATGTGGTATAAGTTCATCTGTGTAGTGTTTGCATGTGTATGGAGTGTGGTATGCAATAGGTTTTGTGTATATATGTTTAGCATATAAATATGTATGTGGTGTGCATGTATGTTATTATGTAGCATGTGACATGCAGATATATTTGGTGTGCATTGTATTTAATGTGTGTGTATGGTTTTATATGATGTATATTGCATGTGCATGCATGTAGGGTATACGTGTATGTGTGGTGTGTTTCTGTGTGCTGTGTTGCATGTGGCTGTACATGCATGGTGTGTGTGTGCCACATATGTGTTTGTGTATGCATTTTTATAAGTGGTGTGGGGATTGTGTTATATGTGTATGTGTGTTGTTGCTGTGGGTATGTGTATTATATGTGGTGTGTGGTAGGTGCATGTGTGTTGTGGTTGCTGTGTGCACATGTGTTATGGTGGGCATGTATGTTGCATATGATGTATGGTGTGTGTATTATGAGGTGTGCTCACTTATGTCCTTGTTCATGGGGGGGTGGATTTGTGTGTGTGTGTGTGTGTGTGTACTGTGTGCATGTGTCTGAAGGGGTTGGGTGGAAAGGCCTGGGTAACTCTTGTCAGGGCAGGGACAGGGCTGAACAAGGGGCACACAGCCCGGAGGAGACAAGGTGTGCTGTGGAGACCTAGAGACTATACTCCATCAGGCCTTACATGTTGTCTCAGGGTTCTGAAGAACAGAAGGACCACCAAGGTGGGGTCCTTCCTGAGGGCACATGGGGCTCAGGGAACCTTCAGGTGATGTCAGAGCAGTGACTCACAAACCACTCCTACCAGGAAGAGGGGTTGCAGAGCAGAATAGTGCTCAGCCTAGGGGAGCAAGCATTTAGCAGAGACTCCCCACATCCTGCCCGACCCACCATGGGCTCCAGTCTCCTCTGCTGGGCAGCCCTCTGCCTGTTGGGGGCAGGTGAGTCATGGGCACATCTGGGAAGGCACTGAACTGCCTTTGCTATCTGAAGTTCAACCTCAAACAGGAGACTCCTGCAGCTGGGCCCTGAGCTCTGTCCTCAGCTTCTGTTCCCTGTGCCCACAGGCCCAGTGGATTCTGGAGTCACACAGACCCCGAGACACCTGATCAAAGTACGAGGCCAGCAGGTGATGCTGAACTGTTACCCCATCCCTGGACACAATACAGTGTCCTGGTACCAGCAGGCCCGGGGCCAGGGCCCCCAGTTCCTCATTCAGTATTACAACGAGAAAGAGAACTACAAAGGTGACGTCCCTGAGGGCTTCTCGGGCCGACAGTTCTCTGACTACCACTCAGAAGTGAACCTCAGTGCCCTGCACTCGGCCATGTTCCTCTGTGCCAGCAGCCCCACACAGCCCTGCAGAGCCACCACCACTCCATTCACAAACCTCAGGGACACCCGGCAGCGGGGGCTGTGCAACAAAACAGGGAAGGTCTCAACCCCGATAGTGTAGCTTGGGCCTCAGGGGACCACAAACCCACAAGTTTGTTTGGAGGATGGTACCCAGCCCGGACTCACCCCCAGTTCCCTGCCTGGCCCTCTGTGTACCAGGGGTAGGAAGAGGTTGACACTGGAGAGCTAGTACCCATCTTTCTCAGGAGGGGGATTTCATTCAGGGGAGAATGGTGTTTGGTGAAGACACTTGCAGAAGGGAGCATTGCAGGGGGCTCTTCACATCACTGCTGTTGTAGTAGGTACTTTCGGTCGGTTCCCACTCTGTGATCCCAGGTCTGCTGCCACCCTTGCCATCCTGTCTGTGTGGGAGTCCATTATTGCAACCACTCCATCAGTCCATCTTGTTGAGAATTTCCTCTTTTAGCTGGCCTACTTTACCATGGAGCCCTGATATCTTGATGGGCTAGGTGTTGGGTTGCTAACAGCAAGGTCAGCAGTTCAAACCCATCACTCACTCTGAGGGAGACAGAAGAGGCAGGCTGCTTTTGTGAGATTTGTACCTCTGGAATCCCATGGGGCAGTTCTGTGCTGTACGCCAAATCAATTCTGAGCCAGTTTGTTTGGTCTGGGTTAGGTTTCTCCTTTACCAAGCACAATGTCCTTCTTCATGGACTGGCCATTCCTGGTGACAAGTCCACAGTACATGAAACAAACTTGAGGGGAAAAAAATAGGAAAACTGAGGTTTGGAGAAAGAATGTGATTCAGGACACTTGGAAATTGAAATCAAACTACAGTGTTCTGCAAAGCTGGGCTCTCCATCATACTCTGTCTTTTCTCCCACCCCCAGATAGTCAGTGCCCAGGAAATCTCAAGTGAAACCTACAGAAGGAGTGCCATCACTGGTGGCCAGGCCTGGACTGGACCTGGGCTGACCTTGTCTCCTCTCCTCCTAGTGTCTGGTCCCATTGCGCCTTTTCAGGCTCTTCTGGGTTCTCCTCAGGACAGAGCAGGCCAGGCCACCTGACCTCACAAAGGAAGGCTTTCCCGTTGCCCCACAACCCCTCCGTAGCCCAGATCCATGTTCCTTCAGTGCCTCACTTCCCTCAGCCAGTGGACAGAGCTCGCTGTATCCACACAGCACCCCCATGTCCCTGGCAGCTCAGAGGAAGCTCATGTGCCCCACCTCCCAGAAAGCTCTTTCCTTCTCCAACAGAAAACAAAACCTGTTGTGACGTGGACTCCACAGGGCTCCAGTGACTGATATTCAGAAGTAGATTGCCAGAACTTTCTTCTGAAGCATTTCTAGGTAGACAGAAACCACCGACCTTTCAGCTCCTAGCTGAGAACATTTCACCATTTCTGCCACCCAGGGTTTGTTCTCCCCAAACCCAAGCAAATACTACTCATTAGTTCAAGAGATGCTCCAACACGCCATGGACCCTGTTTCTTACAACTCATTATCCGGCAGCTAAATGTTCCTACATCAACCACCAACAAGGGGCTCTTTTAGAAATGAACATGAAAACATAGATGTTATCTGTGCTCACTAACATTACCTGGCCATCCTAGCCAAATAAGGGAGACCACTGTATGTGTGGTGTGTGATACATGCATGTATGTGTACCCATGTGGTGTGTGTGTAGTGCAATACATGCAAGCATGTGTGTCTGGTGTGTATATGTGTGTTCTTCATGTGGTACAATGTGTATGAGTGTGTGGTATGTGTTTATTTGGTGCACACATGTAGTGTGTGTATGCATGGTGGGTGCACATGTGTTACATGTGTTTGTGATGTGTTTGTGGAGGCATGTATATTTATGTGGTGAGTGCATGTGTGCTGATGTATGTGGCATGTGTGCATGTGTGTATGTACTATGCCTGTGCACACATGAGGTCATGTGAGTGCGTGCTATGTACAGCTGTGTGAAGGGGTTGGTGGAAAGCTCTGGATAATTCCTGTCAGGGCAGGCTGAGGAAAAAGATGCACTGTGAGTACTAGGGACTGTGCTCCACCCAGACCCACCTTTTGTCTCAGGGCTATGCAGGACTGAGGGGCTTCTAAGTCAGGTCCCTGAGGGCACAGGGGCCACAGGTGGTGTGCAAGGGGTGACATCAGAGCAGTGACTCACAGATGCTCCTATCAGGGTAAAGTGGGTGCAGAGCATTAGTGTGCTCAGTCTAGGACACCCTGTCCTGAGCCTAGAACATTCACACATCCTGCCTGACACACCATGGACTCCAGTCTCCTCTGCTGGACAGTCCTCTGCCTTCTGGGGGCAGGTGAGTCATGGGCACATCTGGAAAAGCACTGACCTGACTTTGCCACCCTGAAGTTCAAGCTTGAGCAAGAGACTCCTGAGCTCTGTCCTCAGCGTCTGTTCCCTGTGCCCACAGGCCCAGTGGATTCTGGAGTCACACAGACCCCAAGTCACCTGATCAAAACACGAGGCCAACAGGTGACCCTCAGCTGTTCACCCATTGCTGAGCACCTCTCCGTGTTCTGGTACCAGCAGGCCCGGGATCAGGGCCCCAAGTTTCTTGTTGCATATTACAGAGGGGAAGAGAGAGAGAAAGGCAACATCCCTGCACGGTTCTCAGGACAACAGTTTTCCGACTACCGCTCAGAGCTGAACCTGAGCGCCCTGGAGCAGGGGGACTCGTCTGTGTTCCTGTGTGCTAGCAGCATAGAGCACAGCCCTGCAGAGCCACCACCATCCTGTGCACAAACCTCCTGTCCCACCTCAGGAAGTAACAGTGAGGGAAGAGAATGGCTGCAGGGTGGTCTCAGGTCTGCTGAACTGAGGGCTCCCCAGATACACTTCCTGCTGCTCATACGTGTGACATGTGATACAGCTCAAAGAAGTAATGCTGAGTAAGCTCATATGTGTAACATGTGCAGTGCTCACAGGAGTAATAGTAAGCTCATATGTGTAATGTGTTAATGCTCACAAGAGTAATGCCAAGTAAGCTCATACATGTAACATGCATTAGTTCTCACAGGAGTGATGAGGAAGAAGCTCATATGTATGACATGTGTTAATGGGCGTCGACATGAAGGCAGCTGATTTTGTTTTGCTTTCTTTGTGTGAAAAATTTCCCACTGAGCTCTTGCCAGATGCACAGACATGTGGGTGTTTTCTGAGGAGTCTTCTTATACTTGATCCAATTTTCAGTCCCTCCCACGGGACAAAGAGGAGGCTGTCTGCCACTGCACAAATGTGCAGCCTCCAAAACCCTACACAGGGTCTTTATGAGTCAAACAGATATGTGGCAGAAGCCATGCGGAGGACCCTAAACATGAAGGGTTCATTGTTAAGCAAGGCCACAATGGGTCTCCCCTTGGAAGGCAAGGCCCCAGGAGGAATCTCATGTGGGAGCTCTGCAGTTTCTGTCTCTTTGTTTTAATCAGCTTATTTTTAATTTTCTTGATATTATAATAAAAGTTTTCAGTAGAATCTTAGTAGGAATTATATTAGAGATTTGAAACTTGTTTTTAGGCACCATTACACCATATTCAATCACGTGTAGTCCTAAAGAATACTTTTCACACTAACAATAAGTTTTACCACTAGGAAACACCAGCTAAAGTTTTGCCAGTTCAAGTTTAAGATTACATTCAACATTCTGTGTAGTTTCGGTCAGGGACATTAAGACCTCTAGAAAATTAGCTAAAATGCAATTGAGGGCTAAGGGAATGGTAATAGATCATAAGCAGAAATTTAACTAGATGTTTTGTGTAGAGAAGTTTTTAGAATAAGGAAGTTGTTCCGTTTCTTCTTAACTACAAAACTTTAAATGCTTCTTGTTTTTCTTGTTTAATCCATCATGAGAAACACCTGTGTTGTCAGTTACCATAGCAAATAATGTTTAGGTCCATGTTGTGATTAATGAATCTACAGAAAATAATAGGTGAAAAAAGAAATAGGAGTTAAGATTTAGAATTATGTTTTAAGGTTAACCTGACATTTTAGGATGTCAGAAAGATTAAGGAATTTTAACAAGGTCATTTGTGTAATGCTTCAAATAAATTGATTGTTATGAGATCATAGTGTATTGTAATGGTATATAAGGAGCTGAAAAAATTAAGTAAAAAAAAATATATATATATTTATATATATATATCATCATCATCATCTTCAGAATTTAGCACAAATCATTGACTCCATGAGGTTTCTTTCTTCAGCTGACTCCACACATCCCTTCTTGAGCCCCCCTAATAAGTGTGTCAGGGCTGGCCCCCAACAGACATGACAGCATATAACAAGAGCAGCAAGAAAGTTAGAGGAAGGATGTGATTTATTGGTATTCATTAGTCAATTTATTTTAAGTGATCCAACACTTTAGGAACTCCTACTTTGTATATGTTATGGAATAGAATCACTTAAAATAAAATAAAGGAAACTTACAAATTGAAATAGCTATGTTTCTTGCCTTGGGAGTTTTACAGTCTGCAATACTAAATGTACAATATTTATCATAAATATTTGACTGTTTCTATCGAACCATCTGTCTTTGGAGCAACTGGGATGACTAAAGAACTTCAGACCACCGGGACTGAGTTCTTCCCCCTGGAAGAAAACACTAATGGACCGTTTTGCCGGTTTCCTGCTGCCATCAATGCTCGTGGATGCAGCAGTCAAGAAATCAGTTGTGCAAATATGCTGCAAAAGACCTCTTTAAAGTATTATGAAGGATGAACCAGGAAGACAGAAGAACCGATGCATTTGAATTATGGTGTTGGTGAAGAATTCCAGAAGAACAAACAATTCTGTCTTGGAAGAAGTACAATCCAAATGCACCTAGAAGCCAAGATAGTTAGACTTTATCTCACATACTCCGGCATGTTATCAGGAGAGATCAGTCCCTAGAGAAGAACATCATGCTTGGAAAAGTAGAGGATGGGCAAAGCAAAGGAAAACCTTCACTGAGATGGACTGATACAGTGGTAGCAACAGTGGATTCCAATAGCGAGGAGGGAGCAGAACCAGACAATGTTTCATTTTGTTATTCATAGGGTTGCTATGAGTCAGAACTGATTTGACAGCACCTAACAAAAATATTTTCCACTGTCTCTCACACATATATAGTCAATTTGATTTCAGTGCATTCCATCCGGTCAGGTCCATGTATATAGTCATCTTTCATGTTGTTTAAAAAAGACATATTTAATGAACAAGTCATCAGTCCTATAAAATTCTATCATGCGATCTCCAGCATCATTCTATCACCAAGGTGATATGGATGTGAAAGTTGGACAATGAATAAGAAAGACCTTAGAAGAACTGATTCATTTACGTTATGGTGTTGGAGGAGAATATTAAAAGTACCATGGGCTGCCAAAAGAACAAACAGATCTGTGTTGGAAGAAATACAGCCAGAATGCTCCTTAGAAGCCAGGTTGGCAAGACTTGGTCTCTAAAACTTTGGACATGTTATCAGGTGGGACCCTGGAGATGAGTGAACACAGGGAAACTGGTCTCTGACCTCCAGAAAGAGTAGGAGTTTTGGACCCAGGCATTATTTCACCTCTTGTATCCCTGGGTAGCTCAGTGCCTTCAAGTTCATCCAGGGGAAATCCGAGTCAGCAGGGTGGCTGGGAGGCTGGAGAGATTGTGCAGCCATGGGCACCTAGACTACAGGGTCAACCTTGGGTGTAGGCATTTGAGGTTCCAGAAGATGTGCAAGTGAGGGAAAGGATGTGATTAGACACGTGGGTCCAGACTGCTCAGGGCCATGGGAGAGGACCCAGGAGGAGGTTATTCTTTAACAGGAGCTTATAAATATTCAAATCAGTCTTCCAATTGTACTGCATAAAATGATCACGTGTTCCTGAGGCTGCAGGGGTCTGAAGAGACATGGAGGTCACCTGCCTTAGGGGGAAGGGCCGTCCCCCTTCTTTGCTTCTGTGTGCAAAGATTCCCCACATCTTGTCTGGCCTGTCATGGGCTCCAGGCTCCTCTGCTGGAGGATCCTCTGCCTCCTGGGGGCAGGTGAGTCTCTGAACACCTGCAGTTCTAGTGTGTGTGTGCATGGTGCGTGAGCAGATGTGTTCATGCATGGAGGCATTGTGAGTATGTACGGTGGGTGTCTAGCTGTCTGTATGGTGATTCCATCATCTTCCTCATTCTGTTCCCAGTATCTGTCTCTGCAGGTAACTCAGGTGCTGGTGTCTCCCAGGCCCCCAGGCACAGGATCACACAGAGGGGCCAGGCTGTGGTCTTCAAGTGTGACCCAGTTAATGGTCATACTTGCCTTTACTGGTATCGGCAGACCCCAGGGCAGGGCATGGAGTTTTTGATGTACTTCCAAAACACGGAGGCACCAGACACATCAGGGATGCCTGATGCTCGGTTCTCTGCAGAGAGGCCTGACGGGTCGTCCTCCACCTTGAAGATCCAGCCCGTGGAGCCGAGGGACATGGCTGTGTACCTGTGTGCAAGCAGCTTAGCCACAGAGTGACGTTATCATCTGCTTCCTGTGCAGAAACCTCATATCCTCCTCTCTCCTTGTTGCTCCCTGAACCATGGTGTTTCTCTTTCCCCCATTCACTAGGGAAAGACGTAATCTTGGATATCTGTTGTCCTTTGACTAGGAGAAGACAAGACCACAATTTCAACCCTGAAGCTCTGGGGTTGCAGGTTTTGGGGGATGGAAATCCTTAGATGGTGACCAAAGTGCCTGCTCAACCCTTTGCAGATCTATATTTATTGGAGTTACCTCGTGTATGTAGAGGGGGGTGTTTTGATCTGTATTTATTGAGGTCACCTTGGTGGTCTTTTGTGTGAGGTGGAGGAGGCATTTTGCATATATTTAGCATCTTTTTTCTTCCTATTTTAGACTACTGTTTCCCTCTGCCCTCCATTCTATTCCTCTCCATTTCAGAGCATGGTTTTAAGGGAGAAAATCCTAAACAGACTATAACTGTCAGAAAAGTCATAGGAATGGCATAGAATACAGGATGGAATGCTAAATCTGCTAACTTGAAGGAATAGAGTTAGGATATTTTAGACTGGGTTTCCTAGAGGAACAAAATTAATGAAGCGCATGTATATATATATATATATACTATAGTTAAGTGCCACTGAGTCACTTCTGACTCATAGCGACTCTTTATAGGATTTCCAAGAAGTGGCTGGTGAGTTTGAACTGGGAACCTTTAGAGTCAAACTGATTTATTGTTCAGTGCTTATCCCACAGTACCACACCAGAACTCAAAATATAATAAAGAGTTTTATTTCAAGGGTACAGCTCACAATTGTGGGGGCCAGCAAGTACCAAACCCATGGGTCTGTGTCAGACTGGAAGTTGCTGTTGACTCATGTGGTTGCAGGGACCAATGAACTCCAAACCTACAGGTCAGGTGACAGGCTGAAGACTTCTCCAGGAATCAGAGGTCAGGTCATGAGGTGAGTGCAGGATGGACGGAAAGAGGAAGCTTTGTCAGGACATGAATATGTATTAGATACAGGCCTTACCACCAAGGAAACCACCTTCCCAACTGATTGACTGCTCACCTTGCAACACAGGATAAGGGTGATTATATAATATCTGCCAAGCCACTGAGTATCATGGCTGAGCTAAGTTGACATATACCATTAATCATCACATGGGGTTAGGGCTGGTGTTAGGGTTAGGGCTGGTGTTGGGGTTAGGGCTGGTGTTAGGGTTAGGGCTGGTGTTAGGGTTAGGGCTGGTGTTAGGGTTAGGGCTGGTGTTGGGGTTAGGGCTGGTGTTAGGGTTAGGGCTGGTGTTAGGGTTAGGGCTGGTGTTGGGGTTAGGGCTGGTGTTGGGCTTATGGCTGGTGTTGGGCTTATGGCTGGTGTTGGTGTTTGGACTCATAGTGGGGTTTATGGTTTGAGAGTGTTAACTGTAAACCCTCCAGAATATTTTTGAACATGGACCTGCTGTAGGGGCCCTGGAGATACACAAGTTTACTCCCAACTAAATGAAAAGTTATTGCTGCTATGTGTGTTGTGTCATTGAGTGAAATCGGAATCATAGCGAACCTGGACAGGGTTTCCAAAGCTGTAAATCTTGGTGGGAGCAGAAAGCCTCACCTTTCTGCCACAGAGCGACTGGTGGGCTCGAACCTCCGACCTTGTATTTCACAATCCTGTGCTTATCCTACAGGGCCACAGTACTTTCCAATGGAACGTTAGGTGATTGGAATGCATCCAATGGAACCATGGAGAAAGGTCTGGCAATCGTTTTCTGAGGAGATTTCGTCACACACACACAAAAAAAACCTGTGGAGCTCAGTTCTACAGGGCAACGCAGGGGTCAACATCCCGCAAATGGTTGGGGCTTGGGTTGTAACTGTGCAAATACTTCCCAGCATCCTTTGGTCTATCTCAGAAGGGATCAACAGTGATGATGCGTCTTTTGTTGACCACAAGATGGCACTGTGGTACCACTGAGATAGAGTGGGCACTGGGCGAGTCCCCCCTGAAGAGAAAACTTCATTGAGTCCCAGATTAGATGTTCTGAATCATTGTTAGTCTACTTTCTGTCCTGCCAGAGGAGGGAGGTCCCTCATATGTTAATGAGACCCATAGTGGGAAAACTGTGGCCCCACAGCCTTGCTGCCAGGAGAGGGTGTAAGGAGAGGTAGATGAGGAAGCATGGGTGGGATCTACTGAACTTAGTGCAGACCACCACAGTAGGTCTTGTAATCAGAGGGGTCTAGACCAGAGAACCAGGGTGGTGGGAAGGCAGAACCAAGTGCCCACTGGAGAAGAAATGACTCCCAGGAGAAGGGGGTACAGGCGTTCTTGCTCTTGTTGCAGTTGAGTGGATTCCAACTCACAGTGACCCCATGTATCAGGGTAGAAATTCCCCATAGGGCTTTCAGGGCTGTGACCTTTCTGAAGTAGATCACTACACTTGTCTTCCAAGGTGTCTCAGGATGGGTTTGAACCACCAACCATTAGGTTAGTAGCTGACAGCAGGCTTTCACTCAAGGACCTTTGATGATGGATGGATGGCTAGGTAGATAGATAGATGATAGATAGATAGATAGATAGATAGATAGATAATGGATAGATAGGTAGATAGATAGATAGATGATGGATGGATGAATATATAAATAGGTAGGTAAGTAGATAGAGAAAAGATGGATGGAAGGATAGATTTTGGATAGATTGATGAATAGATAGATGATGGATGGATGGATAGATAGATGATAGATAGATAGATAAATGATGGACGGATGATAGATGATGGGTGGATGGATAGATAGATAGATGATAGATAGATAGATAAATGATGGACGGATGATAGATGATGGATGGATAGATAGGTTGATAGATGATGGGTGGATGACTAGGTTGATAGATAAAGCGATGATGGATATAGATAATTATGGATGGATGGATGAATAGATAGATGATGGATGGATGGATGCATAGGTAGGTAGATAGAGATGATGGATGTTGAATAGATGATAAATGAAAGAAAGATAGCAAAAGATGACAAAGAGAGAGAGAGAGAGCTGCCTTCAAGGTGGACTCTGACTCTTGGTGACCCCTGTGTGCAGAGTAGAACTGCCCCCTGGGTTTTCAAGAGATTGACCTTGCAGAAGGAGATCACTAATCTGTTCCTCCAAGGCACCCCTGGGTGAGTTTAAGTTGCCATCCTTTCCGCTGGCAGTCAAGGACTTGACTGTGCCACCAGTCAAGAAATCCCTAAGAGCAGTCTACTCTAACACACAGGGTGGCCATGAGTCAAAATAGACTCTTCAGCAATGGGTTTGTTTTTGGGGTTTAGGACCCTTGGTCCATATTTCACAAAGGTCAGATCCTGGTACCTATTTGAGGGGCTTGGAGTGCTACCTGGGACTGAAGATATCCCTGCCCACAGCAGGTGCTGGTGTCTGAGTCTAGAATAGAGTCCCCCAGACAGCAAAGATCTCCTCTCTCCATGAGACTTGGGGGTATGTTGGCTGTCCTGGGGGGTCAAGGTGGTGCAGGCAGGAGAGCGAGTGAGGCCTCAGACATATGGAGATGCTGTGTGGGGACCCAATGTCTGGTGTAGAAAGGCTTGCAGACCAAGTTGCAGTCTGTGGGATATGTGTGTGAAGATGCTGGGAACCTGCAGGGTCAAGAACAGACAGTGACGTCATAGGGTAGTCCTCCAATCAGAAAAGGAGTTGAGGATTCCGGCTTTCTCACTCAGAGTACACAGAGGCTCATCCACTGAGTAAGCAGAGATGCTGCCCAGCCTAGTGACCGTAGGCTCCCGGCTCTGCTGCTGGGTGTTGCTTTGTCTCTTGGGGACAGGTGAGTCCCACAGACAGTGTACCCCTCCACTCCAAACTGGATCCTCCCCGGGGGTGCACCACCTGTCCCTCCCATGTTCATATCTCACCCCAACCTCTGCCAGGCCTAATGGATTCCGGAGTCACCCAGACCCCAAGACACCTGATCAAAGCACAAGGCCAGCAGGTGACGCTGAGCTGTTCCCCCATCTCTGGACACCTCTTCGTGTCCTGGTATCAACAGACTCGAGGCCAGAGCCCCCAGTTCCTCTTTCAGTATGACAGCGGAAAAGAGAGAGACAAAGGGTATGTCCCTGACAGGTACTCAGGCCAGCAGTTCACTGACCATCACTCTGAACTGACCCTCAGTGCGCTGGAGCAGGGGGACTCATCCTTGCTCCTCTGTGCTAGCAGCACCGACACAGCCCTGCAGAGCCACTGCCGTCCTGTGCACAAACCACCTGCATGGCTCAGGAAGTGACAGGGGCCTCCCAAGGCAGCTCAGATCTCTAGGAGTGGCTGATAGTCATGTAATTGTGCATGCCTGGTTTATGAGCAAAGATACTCATTCTCAATTCTACTCCGACTCACAACAGCAATAGTGGCTCCGATGTGCTGAACACAATTGCATGCTGCTGCTTTCTTTGCAGGACCTTATTAAACAACAGGAGTCCTGGTGTGACACTGTAGGATCAGCACTAGACTACTAACCACAATGTTGGTGGTTCCAACCCTCTAGCCACTTCTTGGAAACCGTATTCAGGGTTATTATGAATTGGAACTGACTGGATGGTACGTAACAACAACTTTGGACAACAGGCAGGAGCAGTCGTGGAGAAGGATGTCATACATGGTAAAGTAGTTGTTGTTGTTATGTGCTGAGTCATAGTCAGCTTGTTTCCGAGACAAGCTGGTGGGTTTGAACTGTTGACCTTGCAGTTAGCAGTCTAGTGCTTCTCTTACAGCGCCATGCCTGGGCTCTGGTAAAGTGGAGGGTCAGCAAAACTAAGAACCTCAATGGGATGGGCTGACAGAGAGGCTGTAACAACTGGCACACATACAACAAGAGTCAGGGCAATGGCACAGTGCCAGGCAGTGTTGCATCCTGCTGGACATAGGGTGACTATGAGTCAGGGAATGAACTCGATGAAAACTGACAGCAACAGCAATCGAGCAAATTCCTGAACAGTCTTTACAGTGACCAGCAAATCCCCTCCACCCAGGAAGTCCCCACTCTCAAACACCATTTACATGAAAGGTGAAACTCACATGTAGCCATTTCTATTTTAATAATCATTCATCATAGGTCAACCCACAAAGTGATGAGATTTTGGAGCTTTAAGGAGAAACATTTTGGTCAAAACATACCCAGAAGTCACCAGAAGTGTCCTGAGGATTCAGCCTAAGGGTGCAGAAGACAGAACTAGTGAGAGCATGAGGAACGTTCTCTCCATCTCAGGGGAGAGAGAGCACACCCTGTGCTGAGCAGGGTGCTGACTCCTTTGTTCTGGGCGTGCACCATGTGGAGGGGTGTGGCCACTGGGGTGCTTTGAGAAACAGGGGACAGCCAGGACAGTGACTCCAGGGAGAACCAGGTCCTGCTTTCCCAGGACAGAGCCGAGGACACCTTCCCTCTGTCCTCCACCCACCCCTGACTGCCATGGATTCCAGGCTCCTCTGCTATGTGGCCCTCTGCCTCCTGGGGGCAGGTAAGTGCCTGGATGCCACATCAATTCAGTGTGTGTACATGTATGGTGTGTGCACACATGTAATGTGTGCACACATGTGGCGTGCATACATGCATGGCATGTGTACATGTGTGACATGTGTACACTTGTGATGTGCGTGCTGCATGTACATGCATGACCCATGTCCGTGTGTGGTGTGTGCACATGTATGACGTGCATGTATGTGATGTGTGTATGCATGTATAGTGTGTGTATATGTGTGGCATGTGTAGTGTGTGAGGGGGCTTGTATGTTGTGTGTTTTTATGTACTAATGAGGTTTGTGGTGTGTGTGGTATGTGTACAAGTATGTGTGTGGTGTGGTTGTTGTGCATGGTACATATATGTGTATTTTCTCTGTGTGTGGTATATGATACATGCACGTGTGTGTGTGTTGATGTGTGTGTGTGTGCTGTGCCTATATAATGTTTGTAGTGTGTCTGTCTGTCTGTGCAGTGATTCCCATCATCCTCCTCATTCTGTTCCCAGCATCTGTCTCTGCAGGTACCTCAGGTGTTGGAGTCTCCCAGGCCCCCAGGCACAGGGTCTCACAGAGGGGCCAGGTTGTTGTCCTCAAGTGTGATCCAATTTGGGGACACAACCGCCTTTACTGGTACCGGAAGACCCTGGGGCAGGGCCTCGAGTTTTTGATATTCTTTCAAAACAAGGACACACCAGACACATCTGGGATGCCTGATGCTCGTTTCTCTGCGGAGAGGGCTGACGGGTCGTCCTCCACCCTGAAGATACAGCCTGTGGAGCCTGAGGACTCGGCTGTGTACCTATGTGCCAGCAGCTTAGCCACAGAGTGACGTTACCACCTGCTTCCTGTGCACAAACCTTCACGCTCTGATGTCTCTTCCCTGTTCCCACTGTTTGAGTCCATTGTTGCTGCCATTGTATCAGTCCATCTCCTTGGGGGCCTCCCTCTAGTTCTCTGACCCTCCACTTTACCAAGCATGATGTGCCTCTCCATGGACTGGTGCCTCCTGACAACATGTCCAAAGTTCGGGAGATGAAGCCTTGCCATGCTGGCTTTCAAGGAGGATTCTGGTTGTACTACTTCCAACGCAGATTTGTTTGTTCATCTGGTAATCTATGGTACTTACAATATTCTTCACCAATACCATACTTCTAATGCATCAGGTTTTCTATGATCTTCCTTAAGATTGTAGAAGAATAAGGAAGAAAATAGAGACACATACTACAAACTCTAGACCAACCACTACAAGAACACAATGAGTTACATGATTAAAGCTAAGAAGTCGGTGGTGGTGGCAGTAGTTGTATGCCGTCCAGCTGACGCCAACTCCTAGCATCCCTGTATAGGGTTTCTGAGGCTGCAAATCTTTACAGGAGCAGAAAGCCTCATCTGTCTCCAGTAGAATGGAAAAAACGAAATTATAAAAATTGTTACACAAAGGTGGGATGAAGAGAAATTAAATAGAAAGATGATAGACACAAACCTAGCCAGCTCCATCATTACATTAAATCTAAATCATCTGAACACCTCAACTAAAAAGCACAGAATGTGATATTGAATATTTTAAAAAAGCCAAGCTGCGTGCTGGTGGCCAGGTGCTGGTGGCCAGGAGGCAGGCTTGCAGAATGTGCCCTTTGGTTGTTTAAATGGTTATATATTCCTGAGAGTTTGGTTGTCCATCCCCACAAACAAACAAACAAACCCCCAGAGGGAATAGAAGCAAATACTGTGGAATGATGATGCACGGAGGTGATTGTAATCATTGCAATGAAATGATGAGTGTAAAATCGATGTTCCTCCATGCAAACTATCACTCAATTCACAACAAAAACTTAAAAAAAAAAAAAGCCAAACGACATACTTTCTACCAGAAATGTGCTGTAAACATTAAAACACAATATGTTAAAAGTAACAGATGAAAAATGTATGATGCTAACACTGATCAAAATAAAGCTGAAATATCTGTGTTAATATCAGATAAAATAAATTTTAGAGCCAAGAATATTTCTGGGATAAAAGAGGTTATACCCTAATGATAAAAGCAGTCACAGGGAACCTAAATATTTATGTGCCAAATAACAGAGCTTTAAAATACTGAAGCAAAAACAAAACTGCCAAGAGGAATTGTTAAGTTCGCAACTATAGGCATAGACTTCAATACTCCCTTTTTTTTTAGTAACTGTTAAGGCAAGTAGTAGTGGTGTGGTTGTGTGCTGTGGAGTTGGTTCCAACTCAAAGTGACCCTGTATAGGGTTTCCGAGGCTGCAAACCTTTACAGGAGCAGAAAGCCTCAGCTTTCTACAGCGGAACTACTGGTAGATTCAAACTGCTGACCTTGAGGTTAGCAGCCCAATTTGTAACCACTATGCTACCAGAGCTCCTTAAGATAAGTAGGGAGAAAATAAATAAAGGTATAGAAGACTGGAACAACACCATCAATCCACAGGACTCAACATGCACTGATAGAGTACCCCACCCAGAAGCACAACACACGTTCTTCTACAGCTCCCACTGAACATTTACCAGGATGGATTAAGCAAGCAGCTTAAAACAAGAATCAATACATTTTAAAGTATTCAAGTCATACAAAGGACAACCTCTGAGGCCAACAGAACACAATTAGAAGTTCATAGCAGAAAGAACTCTAGAAAAAGTTCAGATATTTGGAAATCCAACAACAATCTTCTAAATAGGAGACCTGGTGTGGCACTATAGGACACATTCTGGACTGCCAACTGCAAAGTGAGCAGTTCAAACCCACCAGCTGTTCTCTGGAAACCCTATACAGGGTCGCTATGAGTCAGAACCAACTTTATGGTACCTGACAACAGCAACAACAAATAACAAGAAATCTTTACTTATTAATTCAAGGAAATGAAGATACTCTTCTAGAAGCTTTTATAGTTTATCATTGAACTCACCGAGGACTTTAATCCATTTCAAATTAATTTTTGGCTGACAGGATCAGCAAACTTCCTCTGTGAAAGATTAGATACTCAGTTATCACGGTTTTCAGGCCATCTGGTTTCCATCGCAACTCCTTGTTCCTACCTCTGTAGTGCAAAGGCAGTCATGGATAGTATGCAATTGAATTAGCATAACTGTGTTCCAATAAAACTTTATTTATGGACACTGAAAGCAGCCATTGACAACAAGCAAACAAAGGACAGCCACTGTGTTCCAATAAAACTTTAT